TCTTATCAAATGAGATTGACTACATAAATTCTTCTTCTCCACTTGATTCAATTCAAAGTGTGATTCATTTTATAAGGGATTCGAGGATTTTTTTACGTGTTGATGGTTAACTACCTAACATATAATCCTTCCTCCTTTAACCGAGGTTAGAATCAACAAAGTTGTTAAACAGGGCTGACAAAGTTTAATTAAATGTTGATTGTAAATTTTAAAATTCAATTGAGGGTAATCATTTGGTTGAGGACCTATAATGTTACTCAACTAGTCTTTACCCTACTCAAGCCAATACCTTGGTCGAATTGGGTTGAACTAAAGTCAGGTTGAGAAATATTTTTTTGACTTTTTAACTAAAATATGAGATAAAAAATTAGTATGTTTATGATATTTTTTTTTTTTTTACGAAAAAAAGTGAAAAAAAAGAGTACAGAAAATAAGCAAATATTTGACTTTTTATATAATTTATTATTTTTTAACTTTTTAACTTTTAAATTACTTTGAGCTTAATACCAACAAGTTCCTCCGGACTAATACTATTTGGGCATGTTTGATTTATGAGATTAATAGTCATGTGATTAACAATGCATTAAATTAGTTTAAGATTAGTTATTCAATCAGGTTAGTGAGATACATAATTTCTTCATATATACATTTATTTTGTAATAGATTTAGAAATATATAAAGAAAATTTACTTATAAATTCCATCTCGAGGAATAGTGATTTATTTAGTTCTAAAATTTTCTTATAGATCAATTAGTTCTATTGATTTTGGAAATGTATATTTAATGTATTATTTAAAAATTAAATTTTACGGTTATACCTTATTTTTATTATTTCCTTCTCTCTCTCTTTTTACGCTATAAAGGTAAGATACACAATATATGAGAATCAAATTTGGAATGAATTTTTATATAAAAATTTTTTTATTTGGAAAAAATTTCAAAATGAATATAAAAATAACTTATAATATGAGATTCTTCAAACATTCTAAAAAGATATGAGATTTTTCAAACTTTTTAAGAAGAGTACAAAACAAAAACTACTTAGTAAGTTTTGGCCAAATGTATAATTTTAAACTATAATACTCCAATGTAAAACTCAAACGTAACACTTAATGTAATATTAAAAAAAATCTTAGTGCAATATCCTAATGTAACACATAAAAAAATTCATTATTATACTTTTCCCAAACGTAACACTCCAATGTAACACTTCAAAAAAAACCTTAGTTTAGCACTCTAATGTAACACACAAAAAAACTATTTAGTGTACTTTTTTCAAACGTAACACTCTAATATAACATTTCAAAAAAAATCCTTAGTGTAACACTCTAATGTAACACACACAAAAACTCCTTAATGTAACACTAAAAAAAACATCTTAGTGTACTTTTTCCAAATGTAATACTCTAAAAAAATTTCTTAGTGTAATATTCTAATGTAACACACAAAAAAATTCTTTAGTGTATTTTTTTCAAACGTAACATTTCAATATAACACTCTAAAAAATTTCCTTAATGTAACATACAAAAAAACTCTTTGGTGTACTTTTTCCAAACATAACGCTCCAATGTAGCATTGAAAAAAAAAAAAAAAAAAAAAACTTCTTAATGTACTTTTCTTAAACACAACACTCCAATGTAACATTAAAAAAGAAAGAATATGAGATTTTTCAAACAATTCCAAAAGGAGTACAAATATTCCTTTTTGAGTAAATACATAATTTCAAATTATGAATGTTACGTTTGGAAAAAGTACACTAATGAGTATTTTTTTAGTATTTTTATGGGTTATATTGAAGTGTTACGTTTGAGGTTATACTGATTAGAGTGTCACATTTGAGAAAAGTGTATTAAAGATTTTTTTTTTTTTGTTATATTGGAGCGTTACGTTTGGGAAAAATACATCAAAGAGTTTGTTTCGAGTGACACGTTACATTTGAGAAAAGTACACTAATAAATTTTTTAGTGTTTATATTGAAATATTACATTATTGGAGTGTTACATTAGAGTGTTAAGTTTTTGTTCGTAATGTGAGATTTATTCTAAAATGAGAAAAATTTTAAATCTTCTATAATGCAAATTTTCTAAATGTGTAATTTTACAATTTGAAAAACTCATTTTTATTCCTAAAAAATTAAAGCCAAACATATAAGTGACTATCATTTTATGTAATTTTTACTTTAATGGGATCTTTGAATTTATAAGAAAAAAAAAAGAACTAAACAATACACAAAATTATATTTTGAAATTTATTGATACATCACTCATAATTTTATTTGTTATCAATGTTCAAAATTGATTTTTTTTTTGGAAAATTTATCCATAAGTCCTAGTTTTTGAAACGTTGAACCATTTAGTCCTAAAAGTTTTTTTATGCTCCATTTAGTCCCATTTTTACATCAACATGATGTGAATGATGTAAATGATCTGATGTTTCATTCTATAATTTCAAAATTTATTGAAATCTGATGAACATTAGATGTTTTTCATCCTATATTTTCAAACATTATTGAAATTTGATGAACATTAGATGTTTGAAATTCAATATTTGTAACATGACTCTGATGTTATTAACATTGTATATGATGTTATTAACATTGTAATAGGACCTTTCAGTCTATAAGAAAACTTTTAGGACTAAACAGTGCATAAGTTATAAGTTATTAATTTGAAATTTATTGGTGCATTCCCTTTTTTTTTCCTTTATTTTTTAGGCGAATTAATTTTATTTTTTTAATATGAAACTTGGTCGGTGACCGCGAGATCCTCGTGTAATTAATGGAAAAAAATCCCCCCCCAAAAAAAGGCCAAAAACAATTAAGGACAAAACTAGGTCGGCGACCGTGAGATCGTCCAAACAGAAGTCTATACTCTCCTCTACTATAGGGTGCTTGCAAAGACCGTGAGTTGAAAATAATCAATTAAAAGATACAATGAATAAGGAAAAATTATTTATAAGTCTTATTAGGAAGAATTATATTATATATGGTATTACTAAAAAATTTATGTTTTTATAAGTTCTGTGTGAAGTTTATTAACACATTTACCTTCAATATTAGTTACGTAACGTAACGTAACCATATCAGATGAGACATTACATAAACGTAACGTGACACCTACATAAATGTGACATAACGTGTTACGTTACATTTCGCAAATTTATAAGGTTTTTGATTTTTTAAATTAAATGTGAAAATGTTACTTGTTCGTGTATTTTGAAATTCACATTCATATAGATATGATCTATGGTAACACTATAGAAAATTGAATGTTACCATAGATTAAGTTTGCGAAACGTAACGTGACACCTACATAAACGTAACGTAACGTAACGTAATCATATCGGATGGGATAGGGGTGTAATTTTGGCCCGTGGCCCGCTCGCAGCCCGATGTGGGCTCGGCCCGTTAAGGCCTGAGCTCAAGCCCAGCCCGATGCCTTGGGCTAGGGCCTGGGCCATCGTTTTGAAGCCCGGCCCGTGGCCCACTCAAGACCCGCCCAAAAGCCCGGCCCACCCGATGTCCATTTTTTTTAATAGAAAAATAATAAAATTTTGGTAGGAAAAATTAAAAAAAATTGTTTAGGCCTGCCCAAAGCTTGAGCCCCGGCTCAGCCCATTGGCCCGCCCAAAGCCCGAATACCCCTGGGCCTGGGCTAGGGCCTGGCCTAGTTTTCTGGCCCGTGGCCCGGCCCGGCCCGACCCGATTGTTTAGCGGGGAGCTCGCAAGGCCCGACATGGGCCGAGCCGGGCCTGGCCAAAATTACACCCTTAGATGGAACATTATATAAATGTAACGTGACGTGACACCTACATAAACGTAACGTAACGTAACGTCTATATAAACGTAACAAGACTTCTACATAAACGTAACGTAACGTGTCACGTTGCATTTCGCAAATAGGATCTTGCAGAATACATTCCTATCTAAATAGGACTTGAAACTCTATAAGAAATTACACAGGACTTAACATAGCATAAGTATCCGAAATAGGACTTATAAATAAGTCTCTCTTAAAATAATTAATAATATAAAATAAAATATTTAATTTATGTACGCGGAGGATACGGAGGGGGCGGGGGTGTCGTTGGGCGAATTGGTTGAGTTTGGGAAGAAGAGAGTGCCGAAGGAGTATTGGGGAGAGACGGAGATTCGGCTCATGGCGACCGCGGGGTTGAGGATGCTGGAATTGAGTGTCCAAGATCGGATTTTGGAGTCGTGCCGGAAGTTTCTGAGGTTGTCTGGGTTCAGGTTTCGTGATGATTGGGCATCTGTTATCACTGGTATGGTTTACTTGTCAAATTGATTCGATTCAATTTGATTCATGTTGATCTTAGTGCTTATTGTGTGAAATTGGTCAATTTGATGCGATGACAACATTAAATGTTATTCGAAATGATGGCAACATTTAGTTCAAAGGTTACTAATTAGGGGTTACTAATTAGAGGTACCCTTATCAACATGCTTGTTTGGAAATATGTTAGCATTTCAAAATAATAGTCCTTTTTGAGGAATATAAATTTTTTTTATAGTAAATTATTACACTTTAAAAAAAATGATGTTTCAAAATTACCATTTGATAGTACATTTTTTGAAAATATCAATGTCATAATTGTACTTTTTATATTGATAATGAATTTAAAAAAATGACAAAATATAAAATTTATATTATTTTTGTACTTGATTTTTGAAAATGAATTAATATTTTGAGATACTGAAAAATAAAATAAGAAACTAAATATTTTGAGACGGAGGAACTAATATGCCAATAAATTTAAATACTAGTATATCTATAAATATCTATAAACACTAGTATAAATATAAGTGGTGTTTTGAGAAATTAGTAAAAGTGTATTTTTTTTTTTTTATTTTTTTAATCTATTATATCTTTTTATGAATAAAAAATATGAAAAATTTGAGTAAAAAATTAAAAGTTAAATTTTTATTTTGTTCCAAAAGACCTATAAATATCTATAGATAAATTCTAGATAAATTCTAGTATATCTATAAATATCTCGACAAAGCCTTTTCCCTCTCCGATCTCCTGCACCGACGACAGATCAATCCATCCTTGTATCGACTTTGTCCCCGAGACAAGTAATTATTAATTCTTCATCCATGGAGGGTATAGTTTCATTGAGACCATCAACACCTAGGGTTTCATTTCATTTCCCCAAATTCCCATCCTCTCGATGCTCAATCCCCTCGATTCTCAGGTCTCCAATGGCCGATCAAAGAATCTGTATTCGAGCTCAACAGGTCTCTATTGAATCCCCTTCTGCGTTTTCAATTTCAGCTCATAATAGTTTATACCCACACAAATGTATGTAATTGATTTTCATTTAGTGTTTTCGATCTTTGATTTGAATGGATATGGAAATCTAATGTGGACATATTGTGAAAGTGTAATTTTTTAGATTCATATGTATCTAAAAAAAATGAATCATTTAGTTTGAATTATAAATTGCAATTCGCGTGTTTTGGCTTTTCAATGGATGGGTTTAGAATCAGCATGTTGATTAGAGTTCAATATGTATTATTTTATTATAAAATTATCTACAAATAAATTCTGAATATAAAATGATATTATTGTAGCTCACCAATTTGTCTTCTGTTAATAACCTATTCTTCTGTTTGGTTGCGTTTTGGTTTTCAGTTTTCATTTTGTAGAAAACACCCTAAACTTGTTTGATGAACTGTTTTCGAAAACTACATTCATAAACAATTTCACACAAAAATGAAAATGATTTGAAAACAATTAAGTGATTTCAAACTTTTCATTGTTTTTGTTTTTGTAAAAAGATAAAATAAAATCGAAAAGAATACAATAACACAACCAAACAGGCCATGCTGATTCTTTTAGTATGCTAATCTCTTATGCTTTAGCTTCATTATGGAAGACAAGGCAACTGTTGTTTAGAGTACTCTGGAACTTCTGAACTAAAATATCTTCTGGATGTTTTTGTAGTCTGATTCGAAGGATGTATCTTCAACACTATCCCCATTTAATGAGTCCGAAGAAAATGCTCTCAAAATCAAGGAGTGGGAAGTGGGGAGGTTCCAAGATGAAATAGCTGCTAGCCAGGGTATAAGGATCAGAAGACGGCCGCCAACTGGACCTCCTTTACATTATGTGGGCCCTTTTGAGTTCCGCATAGAGAATGAAGGGAACACTCCTCGTAACATACTTGAGGAGATTGTATGGAACAAAGATGTGGAAGTCTCACATGTACTTTCTTGGCTTTTGAATAGAGCATTTTGTTGTCTTTTTCCTGTTCTTTCATATTGATGAATTGCCCTTATACTTTGGTTTTCAGATGAAAGAGAAAAAACCTTTGTTTTCGTTGAAGAAAGCTCTTGACAACGCTCCTCCAGCCAGAGATTTCGTTGGAGCTCTAAGGGCATCAAATTTACGAACTGGATTGCCTGGGTTAATTGCTGAAGTGAAGAAGGCTTCTCCAAGTAGAGGAGTTTTAAGAGAAAATTTTGATCCAGTAAGTTTTCACGAATCTATGCATAAAGTAAATAGTAGCCATGTAACAAAATTTTGATTCCCTGCATGTTATTTTCATGAGTGACTAACTGTGCCGTAGAAAAGAACATGGAGGGCATAGGTTTAACCTAGTCCCATGCATAATGTGGTGACTGTGGTACTTGCCCAGAAAAGCCTCAAAAGTTGTGTAAAAATATATGTATTATTGATTGATATCTGATTGATTGATGTTATCAATTACAATTACAAGGATTCCTATTATATAGGAGTGTGTTTGGGAGTAGGTGGAGAGTATGTATTATTGATTGATATCTGATTGATTGATGTTATCAATTACAATTACAAGGATTCCTATTATATAGGAGTGTGTTTGGGAGTAGGTGAAGTGGAAGGTAGGTTAGTGGTGTAGTGGGTTAGGTTTAGTGGGTAGGTGAGTTGGTAGTGGGGTTAGGTTTATGGTAAATTCTAACAGCCCCCCGCAAACTCAAGGAGGATAGAAACTAACCAACTTGAGTTTTGAAGAGAGGAACAAAACAAGAAAATACATAAAAATAAAAAAAGGATGGAGACACTGAATGGTCGTGTCAGACTGTTGGTGAAGACACTGAAAGTGTGTCATAACGTTGTAGAGGACACGTAATGGGGGGTTCATAACGGTGGTAGAGGACACTGGATGGCGGTGTCAGACCGATGTAGAAGACAGTTTATGGGTCATTGTCGGACCGTTGTAAGCAGACAATGTTGTGACAGTTTACGGAGTCTTGCTGGACCCTTGTAAGAAACTAACCAGAATCAATGTCGGGACAGTTTACAGAGTCTTGTCGGACCCATAAAGGAGCTAACCGAATCAATGTCGGGACAGTTTACAGAGTCTTGTCGGACCCTTGTAGAAAACTTACCGGAATCAATGTCGGGACAGTTTACAGAGTCTTGTCGGACCCTTGTAGAAACTAACCGGAAATCAATGTCGGGACAGTTTACAGAGTTCTTGTCGGACCCTTGTAGAAACTAACCGGAATCTATGTCGGGGACAGTTTACAGAAGTTTGTCCGGACCATTAAAAGGAAGCTAAACCGGAATCAATGTCGGGACATGTCTTTACAGCAGTCTTGATCGGTACCCCTAAAGAAAGTCGCCCCCTCAAATGGTGTGTCCAAGCTTTAAAAAGGCGTGTCATTCAAAGTGGCTGCCAATTCATCAAAAGGTGTGCCGGACATGATGGCGAGGGCACGTGGCGCCTTGGCTTGCGTGCCCGTTTTGATTCGGCTGGGTGGCAAGAGGCGCGCGAGCGCGCGTTGGCTGCCTCGACTATTTAACCAAGACGGAGGCGAAGGCAGAGGAAAAGCTTGCGAAAAACCTCATGAAAAAAAAAAAAACTTCGTTGTGCCTGAGAGAGAGAGTCTTGAAAAACTCTTCGTTGTGCTGAGAGAGAGAGTCTGTAACACTCTTTATGCGACGAGAATATTCTGAGAGAGATTTCTGAGAGAGAGATAATTCTGTAACACTCTTTGACACGCTATTGCCCAAGAAAATGCCTCGTCCTCGTCTTCCCGTAGACTGTCACTCTCTTTCCCGACTCAAACGAGTCAACAAGAGAGAGAACTGGTGCCGGTGGCACTGGAACCTCAACCCAAGGCGCCCCGGAGTTTACGCCGTTGAACTTTCCGTGGCGGTCTGTGGAGCAAAGAAATGGCAAGTGCAGTCAGATGTGGAGGCCAATCCAATATACACTGAATAGTTAGTGTTGGAACCATGACTGCGGTACAAATTTGTCGAACCGGCTGCCAGAGTAGGACAAATGAGGTTGCAGCATTTGGAACGGCCAACTGGCTCTGGCTCCAACGCTGTATAAGTGGCGCGAGCAGAGATAAGTGTGTTTGAAAGCAGAAAATAAGGAGCCTGACGGAAAAGGCCACCGTATGATGTTCCGATTTGAGGGCCGCCATATTGGGCAGTGGAAGGAGCAGGGAGAGTAGTGATTCATGCCCAGTGGAGTGGGAAACACGGACGCAACACCGTCAAGGGCCGTCCAGAACGGAGGCAAGAAGAGAGACCTGCAGCAGAGTAGGAGAAGAAAAATCCCAACTTAGGGTGGGTGTGTTGTTTTCGTTTTTTTTTTTTTTTTTTTTTTTTTGTGTGTTGTTGTAAATGTGATCGGGGTGAGCCCCAACATGAATAAAATGAGTGTGGTGATGCAGTTCTTCTTCTTTTTTTTTCTTTTTTTTTTTTTTTTAATAATAATAAGAATATAATAAAATAGAGAAAGAAAACAGAGAATATTTGTGGGGGGAGGATGTGCAGGCGGTGGAATATATTAAAAAAGGTTTGGATGAGTGGGTTGATTAAAAAACAAGAATGTGGGTGTATGGGGCAGTGTGTGGGTGATTATTAGAGAGAGAGTGACAGTGTGTGCCATGTCCCCCCCTGTGTGATCTAACCCGAAAGAGAGCTAGAGAGAGAGAGAGAAGAGGACCCCCCTGTTTGGTTTTCACTGTTCTTCTTTATTCTCCTCAAGAGAGAGAGAGATAGAGAGGTTCCCCTGTATCTTATGGTGGCAGCACAGACTACGACACCAGCCAATACAACGAAGACATGAAGAAATTTAGGAAGATGGCTCTGGGAACGCAGGAGTACGGAAGCAGCGAGTACAGTAGATCAACTAGTGAATATGGTTTGAATCCGTCTGGCTCAAGTATCGAACAAACCACTCGAGAAATGGAGATGGGAAAGATGAAGAAAGACCCCCTGTATCAACCGTGTGTCTTCAGTGCTAGTCGGGAAGGACGAAGCAGGCGGCGAAGAGCTCGCCGGAGGAGGGATTTTGGGCAAAGTCCGATGTAGTAAAATAATGGAAAGTCCGATGTGTTACGAGTCAGATCATCTGAATCTGAAGGCAACCGAGCTAAGATTGAATCGGAAGGCAACCGAGCTAAGATTAAGGTTACCGGGAACAGATGAGCCACAGAAACAATCGTCTCAGATTGTTCGGAGCAACAAACGAGACTTCGTCGGAGATCGATGATACTGAAAATGGAGACCGAGATCGTGCCCCTCCGAGCAAAGCACAAGGAGTAGGATGGCCACCGGTGCGATCTTTCCGGAAAAATTGTTTCCAAGCGAAGAAAACTGAGGCGGATGGTTGTGGAATGTATGTAAAAGTGAGCATGGATGGAGCTCCTTATCTCAGAAAGATTGATCGCAAGGTTTACCAGACCTACCCTGAGCTACTCAAGGTCTTGGAATTCATGTTCAAGTGCACTATTGGGTACAATGGATCTGAATATGCACCAACATATGAAGACAAAGATGGTGATTGGATGCTGGTTGGAGATGTCCCATGGGAGATGTTCATCACCTCTTGCAAAAAGATGAGAATCATGAGAGCATCAGAAGCTAAAGGCTTGGGAAGGTATGTGTAGAAAATAAGCGGATTAGGTTGAGGTCCGGCGGGCGGCCAAGGCGAGGTTGCCGCCCGCCGGTGAAGCGAAAAAAATACTAAGTTCTTAACCTTGCTCTGATACCATGTAAAAATATATGTATTATTGATTGATATCTGATTGATTGATGTTATCAATTACAATTACAAGGATTCCTATTATATAGGAGTGTGTTTGGGAGTAGGTGGAGAGTAGGTGAAGTGGAGGTGGTAGTGGTGTAGTGGGTTAGGTTTAGTGGAGTAGGTGAGGTGGTAGTGGTGGTAGGTTTATGGTAAATTCTAACAAGTTGTTTCTGAAATCTTGTTCCCTGGTATCCATTGACATCTATTGTACTTTTCGTTGGAGCTCTAAGGGCATCAAATTTACGAACTGGATTGCCTGGGTTAATTGCTGAAGTGAAGAAGGCTTCTCCAAGTAGAGGAGTTTTAAGAGAAAATTTTGATCCAGTAAGTTTTCACGAATCTATGCATAAAGTAAATAGTAGCCATGTAACAAAATTTTGATTCCCTGCATGTTATTTTCATGAGTGACTAACTGTGTCGTAGAAAATAACATGGAGGGCATAGGTTTAACCTAGTCCCATGCATAATGTGGTGACTGTGGTACTTGCCCAGAAAAGCGTCAAAAGTTGTTTCTGAAATCTTGTTCCCTGGTATCCATTGACATCTATTGTACTTCCACTCCTGGCTTCTGAATCTTCTGATAATGGCAAGAATGTCATATTGCTGGTTTGAGAGGTTGAGCTGACTTTTCTGGACAAACATTTTATGTGAATGTGGTGACTGATGGTGTCATATTACGAAGCCCTCCTGCAGGCAGCTCAGTTCATTGCAAATGTCACTATTAAAGCTTGATTGGAGTGCTGACTTTCCTATGCATTTATGATGAAACATATATCTGTTGAACGTGCACAGAGTTTGGTAGCAATATCCTATAACAGTTTCCCTTATACAAGAATCTAGGCAGATACATGAAATTGTTTGCTTTTCTGGGCAATGGACTAATGCTGTTATTAGTTTAGGACTCTATGAATAGTTGAATAGTAATGTTTGATATAAACACAAATTTCTTGATCCATTACCTTCTAGAAATATTGATTTCTTTACATATTACGTAGCACGTGGCATTCATGTCCCTTGGCAATGGCCAGAAAAGGTTCCCAACATGTAATGAACCAGCAGTGCAGAATAATAATTTGTTGTTAGTTATTAATGCCATTTTAATGAATCTTATTACTTATTAAAATAATAATAATTCGTTGTTTTTGCCTTGTTGTATGGCTTGTCTTTATTTTCATTGTACTTTTTATTCATGTGAATTCATTTGCATTTTGAATGTCTCTTGTTACAGGTTGAAATTGCCTAACTGTTGCCTTTAGACAAGGATTGAAACAGATTGATGAGATCATGAGATTTTTATCTTTTCCGAGCAATGGGTTAATGTTGTTATTAATCTAGGACTCTGCAAATAGGCTGTAATGTAATGTTGGAGCATAAAAACAAAATTGTGGATTCACTACCTTTCAGGAATATTGATTCCTTTTGCATATTATTTATTGACAGCTCATGGCACTCATGACCCTTGGCCAGAAAAGGTGTCTGACATGAATAAGAATTCATTGTTCTTGCCTTATAACACAGTTTGTGCATATCATCGTATTTTTTCTTCGCTTGAGTTATATTCAATTTGAATGTTGCTTGTTAAAAAAAGTACACTCAGTTTAGTCCTCATGGGATGGTCTGGGAGGAGCAGATTCAGTATAGACCAAACCTTTGACATTGTTTGCACAAAGTGGTTGCCCTTAGGTTCAAACTCACGACTTCAAGATTAATAGGCCGAGTTTTAGCTACTAAACCAATTGCCCCCTTTTGAATGTCTCATTACAGGTTGAAATTGCCCAAGCTTACGAGAAAGGTGGAGCAGCATGCCTCAGTGTTTTGACAGATCAAAAGTATTTTCAGGTAAAAAGTCCAATTTTCTACTCCCAACATTGACTTTTGTAGTTTCTAGGTTTTATGCAATTGTGTGGGAAGTTGGTGGCTTTTGATCTTAAAATTGTTTTCCTTTGCTAATTACCTGTTGCTTTTATCTATTACAACCAATTAAGGGAAGCTTCGAAAATCTGGAGGCCATCCGGAATGCTGGAGTAAAGGTGTGCTTTTTTAAGCGTTTTCCCTTGCACAACAATCTTTGGTACATGCTTTTATATTTTATGTTTTCTAACACAAACTAAATATGCAGTGCCCTCTATTATGCAAAGAATTCATTATAGATGCATGGCAAATCTACTATGCTCGAACTAAAGGTGCAGATGCAATTTTGTTGATTGCTGCTATTTTACCGGATCTTGATATCAAATATATGACCAAGATTTGCAAGATGCTTGGATTGGCCGCACTTGTTGAGGTTCGGCTGGTGCTTTCTTCATTTTTAATTTGTTATCCTCTCAATTATTTGTTATCATCTGCTTCGAGTTTAAAGGCCTGTAGCTATGTTTTGTTTCTAAATAGTCTTGAATATGGAACCTTTTCTATTATTTTCCAGTTGAACTAGGGAAATAAATCCTTTTTAATTAATGATGTTGACAATGTTTCTCTTTTTATGATTTTTTTTTTTTTTTTTTTTTTTTGGGTTTTAACTTGTGTTTTGTAAAAAAAAAAAAAAAAAAAAAAAAAAAAAAAAAAAAAAAAAATAATTGTCTGCATGATAAACCTGTAAACTTTGGCAGAGGCATGAGATTTGACTTCATTTATTTTCCCTGTTGGTCATTTTTATGTCTTATTCTACTGCAAGGTTAACAATTCCTAGTTCTCCTGGACTAGCGAAGGGATTAATATATTTGGACACATGAGCTTCTGTCTGAGTTCCATAAAATTTTGCTATTTCATTCATAAAGTTAAAATTTCATCATGTGGATTATAAAGTGCATTTATTATTGCTTCTGCTTTTTCGTATCCTGTTAGGTACACAATGAGCAGGAAATGGATCGCATTCTTGGAATAGATGGTGTCGAACTTATTGGCATCAACAACCGTGACCTCGGTAATTTTGCAGCTTCTTAGAAATCCAAATTGCTGGTGCCTCTGCTTGGATTACTCCCATATTTATTTCTTTGCAACTCTTTTTCTATATGCCATACCTTATTGCTGATTGAAGACCAATACATTCATATATATCATGAGTTCTGTAATAATTTCATTTATTTCGTCCAATTTTTTACAGACCATCACTAAAGTGTTCGGTTCAGTTACATTAATTAGACATGACTTCTTTTTTTTGAGGGGGTTTCAAAAAATTTCAATCTCCTTCTAGGATTGAATTCTGGCCCTCACCATCAAGGCATGATAATAAAACAAAACAAAAGTATTAAAGCTTCATGCATACCCAAGTATGATTCAATCGTCATAAATTTTGTTACCAACAAGTTTTACTTTTATACAGAAACATTTAAGGTTGATATTAGTAATACAAAGAAGCTTCTTGAAGGAAAGCGTGGGCAAATGATCTGTGAGAAAGACATAGTTGTAAGTGACACTATTCTCCATACTGACCTTATAATTTTCAGTGTTTCCCATGGTGATCAGAAGGATGCTTATTCCTTTATGCTCTAATGGACTCTGATCTAACTTTCCTCTTTTTTAAACTCTTCAGATTGTTGGGGAGTCAGGGCTCTTCACTCCGGCTGATATTGCTTATGTGCAAGAATCTGGTGTTAAAGCAGTAAGCTCTGAATATCTTTAGTCAACCTTTTTCAATTTTTTTTTTTTAATAAAATTTTTCAGGGTCTTCTTGTCGAGACTGATCTAAAAAGTTCAAAAAAAAAATTCAAATTTTTTTTAAAAAGCTCATCAAAGATGAAAATAAGCAGAAAAAACGCCAGCTTATAATTTTTCTCTTTTTTTTTGGAACAAGACGCCAGCTTATAAATTGGTTGCCAAAGGAAGTCTTTATGTGCCATGTGCTTACAACACCTGTATTATTTAATTTTTTTTTAATCTAAATTGATTCCTGATGGAGCAAGATTAGGATTTCCTTGGGTTTTTGTAAAACATGAAAGCAAGGAAATCTAAGGATATTGCTGTATTTCTTTATCCATTGCATCTTTGAACTTAATATTGTCAGCAGTTGATTTCATGGCTGTGTTTTGATATAAGAAATTTTGGGCGAGTAATTTGATATATGTGCTTCCTGAATTTTGCATTTGTGCCAAATAATTTTGCTAATTAGGGTAAAAATACATTGTCGTGCCCTTGCAGGTATTGGTTGGCGAGTCAATTGTGAAAAAGAGTGATCCTGCAAAGGGAATAACCGAACTTTTTGGTAAAGACATTTCTTGTAATTTCCAATGACAAACTCTCTTTCCCCTCCGTTGCGAGTGGTAACCAGGTTGCTTAGCACTGGTTCTTTTATAGTTTTGTGCTTTTGCATCATTGCCTTGTGCAATTTTCTCTTCGGTTTAGGTTACATTTCTTCGTGATAGAGTGGCCCGTTTGGTGTAACTGTTAAAATATATTATAGATTATAGATTATGACTTTAGTCAAAAGTTATTAATCTGTTTGATGTAACTGTTGGATTATAGATTTAAATTGTTGAGTAGTGTTTGTTGAATAAGTTATAAAGTAGTTTTTTGCTATGTAAATGTATTTTTTACCCTTGTTAGTTGTAAATTGAATTTATCTCGACTTTTTGTTATAAATTACATATTAAAATATCATTCCAACACCAAATTAATATAATGATCTTATTTTTAGATAAAAACGATGATATAAACATTACACGAAAATAAATTTATTATATTTTAATAATTATTTCCTTGACAAATTGACATTAAAATTTCATATCTTTTCGAATCCATCTCATAATCATCATTTCAAACTGGATGCCCATATCGGTCTTCCCCTATCACTGCTTTCTCGTCAACGGGGACATACTCAGTATGTTTATCATAGGAGTCAAATATAATATCTCTTAAATTAGTTCGTCTAATGAAGTTGTGGATCGCTATAGTTGCATAAACAAGTTGCCGTTAACAAACAAAATTGTAATTGCATGGAATATCTTTCGTAAAAGGCTATCTTGCTTTCCAAATACCAAATTGATCTTTTTATTACGTGATGAATGTGTTTTGTTGAATCTTTCATGTGCAATTTGAGGAGGCCGATGGTCAATGCAATGATAGTCAACATCCTACACAAATTTTTAACATCAAAGCATGAATAAAAAATTTCCAAAATAAATTTATTATATTTTAATAATTATTTCCTTGACAAATTGACATTAAAATTTCATATCTTTTCGAATCCATCTCATAATCATCATTTCAAACTGGATGCCCATATCGGTCTTCCCCTATCACTGCTTTCTCGTCAACGGGGACATACTCAGTATGTTTATCATAGGAGTCAAATATAATATCTCTTAAATTAGTTCGTCTAATGAAGTTGTGGATCGCTATAGTTGCATAAACAAGTTGCCGTTAACAAACAAAATTCTAATTGCATGGAATATCTTTCGTAAAAGGCTATCTTGCTTTCCAAATACCAAATTGATCTTTCTATTACGTGATGAATGCGTTTTGTTGAATCTTTCATGTGCAATTTGAGGAGGCCGATGGTCAATGCAATGACAGTCAACATCCTACACAAATTTTTAGCATCAAAGCATGAATAAAAAATTTCCAAATTTTTCCTAAATCCATTGAATATTCTTACTTTTCTCAATTTCAACAAATTTGAAATAGACAAAATCACAAATAACCAAAACAATACATATATATACATGCATGTTGAATCCAAAGCAAGAGAGAAGAGAAAAAATCGAAAGAGATAAAGGAAAAGAGGTGAATAGAGAGAACGAGAGAGAGAGAGAAAATATAAGAGATTTAGAGCCAGAAACAAACTAGAGCCACATGTCGTCGAAAATGAACCAAAGCCGGAAACAAACCAGAGCCGCATGTTGCCAGAAACGAACCAGAGCCGCACGTCTTGTTGCTGCGTTTTGCTGTTTGCTGCTGCGTTCTTCTCTTGCCAGAGAGAAGATTAGGGCTAAATATATATATATATATATATAGGTGTTATAAGAGTAAATACTTCAAAACACTAAGGATATTTAAGTAATTCAAACTCTCCCTCTGTATAATCTACAATCAAAAGCAGCTCCCAGCTGCTTCTGATTTCCAACGTTTTTCTTTTCAAAAAAAAGCTATGAAAGGTGAAGTTATTGGCTTTAATTTTAACCAAACAGTCTTTTGTAGCTTTTGAAAAGCCAGAATCAGTAATCTGATCAACATACGCTGGAGCAAACACCGCCCATGTGCTGCAAGAAATTGTTATATCCTTGAAAATGCTTATGTAATGAAAATTATATAATTTTATTTCCAAATGTCATTTGGAATGGATGCATTTGTAGTGAATTTTCATTTTGAAGTTCCATTGAGTTTGAATCTTTTCTTTGTGGTTTGAGAATTGAGACTTAAGTTTGGGAAATTCCTAGTAAGTCCTTATTTTTGGGATTTATTTGATATTCTCCCATTAAGTTTTGTTGGACTGTCCCATAAATCCAATGCTTATTAGCAACCAATAAAACAATTCCATGTCATCTAAATTTTGCCCATCTATTGTTTTTTTCCTTTCTTTTCCCAACACCAACCTACCCTCTCCCTCATCAAAACCCTCCGCTTTCCCATTAGAAAAGAATATAATACAACAATATTTTGGACTTGGGGATGATGATGGAGGTTCATCTTGTTGCAATTATTCTCAAATACCTTGGGAGTCTAGTGGCTATTTACACAATTGCAGTTGATTGCGAATAATTTTTGGGGGAGTGAGGAAGTGGATGGGGGTGGTGTGGCATGGGAGAGAAAGAGGTAGGGTTGCAAACGAGTCAAGCTAAGCCAAATCGAGTTTTGCTGAGTTTGAGTTCGGCTTGATAAGTAATTGGGCTCATACTCGGCTCGACTTGACTTGTTAATATTAATAAAATTCGAATTCGAATTCGACTTAGCTTGGCTCGATAAATTTTTTTAAATATTATTTATATTATTTAATTATACTATTATTTATATATATATACATATATATTTATATATTAGGACACTTGATTCATAAATTTAATTTTCAATTTTTTTATTCAAGAGTAAACACTCTAAAATACTTTGTCTATAATCTTGCAAAATGACTAAACTACCATTTAGGTCTTATTTGGGAACAGACTTTTTTAGTAACTTTTTGGCTAAAATATTCAATTAATTCTCATATACAATAGAAGGCCAGCATATATAGGCTGAGAAAGAGTATCCTACTACAAACCTAATTATGAGAAAGAATATCTTACAAGAAACCTAACTATAGTTATTCCCAAATATATTTGGAAATCAATACCTAATATATCTAGGAATATATACCATATATACATTAACATCCCCTCTCAAACTCAAGAAGGATACATATCTTGAGTTTGGAGAGAGAAACTAAAATATGAAATAAAACAAAATAAAATAAAAGGTAAATAGATTGCAAAGTTTGAACGAGAGCGCAAAAGCGCTTGAGATAGATCAGAGACTGGAGCTAATGTCGGGAGACAGTTTATGGTCGTGTCGGACCGTTGTAGGAAATGGCCGAAACTAATGCCAAGACAGTTTATGGTCGTGTTGGACCGTTGTAGGAACTGGCCAAAACTAATGCCAAGATAGTTTATGGTTGTGTCGGACCGTTGTAGAAATTGGCCGGAACTAATTGTAAAAATTAGTCGGAACTAATGCCAGAACAGTTTAAGTTCATGCTGGACAGTTGTAGAAGCTAACCGGAATCAATGTCGGGATAGTTTACGGGGTCATGTTGAACCGTTGTAGAGACTAGATGTTGAACCAGCAAACGTAGCATACACATAACTTATGACGTGGTGCTAAACGATGATAGTAACAGATGACTGAGTGTGCTAGGGGACGGCTAGGATGGTGCGCCAGGGGGCGACTTTAGTGGTGCGCCAAGGAGACGGCTTAGGAGTGCACCAAAAGGAGGCGACTTAAAGAGTGCACCAAAAAAAGGCGGCTTAGGTGATGCGCCAATGAGATGGCTTAAAGAGTGCGCCAAAAGGAGGCGAATTAGAGAGTGCGCCAAAATGAGACAGCTTAGAGAGTGCACCAAGGAGACGACTTGGGTGGTGCGCCAAAGAGACGGCTTAGAGAATGCGCCAAAGAAGGCGGCTTAGGTGGTGCACCAAGGGGCGACTTGGGTGGTGCGCCATAGGGGCTGGCTTGAGTTGTACGCCACAGGGGGACAACTTAGGTGGTTTGCATAGTGTATAACCATGTTCACCATGATATAGGTATAATATCCCCCTCAAACTCAAATAGGTTTGAAGATAGAAACCTATTTGAAGTTGAAGCTGAGGGAAAAAGAGAGTAGAGCAGAAGCACAAAAAAATTAAAAAAATAAATAAAAACATGATAGAGATATTTGGGATAGGAATATATTAGCGAACAAAGGAAGAGATCAGGACTAAGCGATACTGACTGGAAAATATGACAGCTGCCTTTTGCCAGTAAAGCGAAGAACACCAATAGCTTAACCTATAGCTCTCATACCATGTTAGAATAGTAGAGAGAGAAAATAATATGTATTGTATTAAATTAATTATTCTATACAAACGAAGGTCTATATATACATGCCTTCTATTGTATAGGATTAACTCATTGAATATAATACAGATACACAATTCCCACCTGATGTAAAAAAAACTAGTATATTTGAGATAACTTTTTAGTTTTTTATGAAAAAATGTGCAAAAAGTAGAAAGAAAAAGAATTTTTGACTTTTTGGTATAGGATCTTGGCTTTTTAGTTTTTTTAACGACTTTTTGATTTTTAGGCTAAAAGGTGATGTTATCAAATGAGGCCTCATTCTCTCCATCGTTTCTCTCTCTCTCCGCTCGGCAGCACCACCTCTATCACTATCTCCGACCTCCAATCTAAGTTCAATCACCACAACTCTGCCGTCGCGTGAATCAACAACGGCAGCTTCGGATCAAGTTCAGTCGCTGCCGCCATGGTCCTCGCCGTCGCCTCACTGGCCACTCGCACTTCATCGAAGGCGTTGTCCTCTTTTAGGGTGGCCCGTTCTCTCTTTCTGGTCGCTTTGTCGAGGTGATTTGATCTAGGTGAGTTCAAATCGTTCCAGCGTGAGTCCGATTTGAGTCGTAGGTCGAGATCTGTGAGCGATCCACAACGACTCGCCGCCGCCGTCATCGTCTTCTTCTCGTCTCGCGCTCATGAAGCACTACATCTCTAATTCATACACAAAACATACATATATATGAAGCTAAGTTGGCCCAGTTCAAGGGTTAATGAAGCTTCTGGGTGTTGTTTGACTAATTATTATTTTTGGTTGTATATATGGAATCATCTTCATCTTTCTCAAAAAAAAAAAGAAAAAAAAAAAAAAAAAAAAAAAAGAAATGTATGGACATTTTACATACAAAGATCTCATAATCAACCACAATCAAATCAATGAACAAGCCAAGTGCTCAAACAAACCTTACTTATTTATTATTCTTTTGTGTAGTTAGTTCTAGAGACAGAATGATATAAGTAATTATTGGTTTGTATATATATATATATATATACATGTTTATGTTGAAAACATGATTTA